TTTATGATGGAGGGGATTGGGGGGGGAAGGGGGCTTAAGAGCACACCTTCAGAGCTCCATAAAAGGTGATCAGTTGGCTCTAGAGCCACCCACATCACTTTTACCTGAAAGCACAGTGCTTTTTCTCTAAAGATACTAAGCCCACTGCTGCACAAAAGGTAGGACGTTATCAGGACAAATATCTCAGATCCATTTTTAATGCTGTGAAGGAATTTCTGTTCATCCAATTGGGGATGCACCAATATAGCGGCGGCCGAAATGTATCAGCTGGAAATAGAGCTATCAGCATTTTGCCAGTAGGAAAAACGTTTAGGGTGTATTTTTCAATGGTCATATGACCCAAAAAAAACCATCAAAAACAGAACGTGTGTTTTTGCTGCAATTTCAATGCATTTCAGGCCTGGTTCACACCAGTGCAGCTTGCGTTTTGTCCGATTTGCAGTGCGTTTTAGCACATGCATTGACAAATTTTGCATTTTTAAAAATTTAAAAAAAAAAATTTTTTTGGCCAACTTGTTGCTGGGCAGACTAAAAATGCAAAATGCATCAAAACCACACTACATGCCTTTTCTGCAGCATCTTCATTGAAGACTATTGAACCAAAAACACAACATTTTAAATTTAAAAAAAACTCCCGGACCCTTTCCAGAAACGCAGCATAAAAGCATAGATGTGAATGTGTCCTATAGGAAACCATGTTAAATGGACTGTAGTGTGTTTCTACAAAAAGCACAATAAAAACGCATAAGTGTGAACCAGGCCTCAATGAGGTGGTGTGTTTTTGGTGCTTTTTTTTTTTAATTTTTTTTTTTTTTTTAACTGACTAAATATGCATCCAAAATGTGACAAACAGGATTTTTAACACCGCAAGAGAAGCACAACAAAACAGTGTAAAAATATACATTGAATTTAAAGGGATGCATTTTTCTTGCGTTTTTTTTTTTTTTTTTTTAATGCAAAAGCGTTTCAAAAACTGTTCATTGTGAAATCAGCCTATTGGACAAGAAGCGTTTTTTCAGCTGTGCTGAAAATAAATTCATATTCATTTAAATTCATGATATTAATTAAAAAGTCAAATACAATACAAATTTATTTATGCCACAAACTTCTCTTTTCACTTTATTAGGATGACCAACAGCAACTATTAATATAATCGAAGGCGAAGGTAGGGAAAAGCTTTCAGAATGCCTGGCGCCTCTAATCCTGACATAAATACAATAATCTTATTTGTAGTCTTGTTCTGGATAAATTGCTTAAATGTAATAAGACCATTAGATTGACATGACAGCCAAACAGCTAGCATTTTTAGGAAGTGGTCTGTAATGGCAACCCCTATTTTCTCATGACAGGTTTCCTGTAAATTGACTCTGTTGTGAGAAAAGTATGGAGGCTGCCAGTGTTGACCGCTCATTTCAAAAAGTTAGCTCCCTGTCTGTCATTCTGATGCATTGAGTAGCTAGCCTTAAATATAGACAGAAGTACTGTAGTTCTGACACTCAATTATAGTATGCTTGTTACAGATCTCTAACTAGAACTGGTCAGGTTTTTGTTACTGTATAATCCCACAAGGGAGATATAATTTCACTTCCTGACCCTATGAGAAGATGTGAGGAAGAGATGGGATCAGAGGCAGCAACAAAACGACATTAAGTAGAGTGGGTAGGGGTTAGAACATCTATCAGGTTTTTTTTTTTGCTCCATGTGACATCTGCATCCTCTTATTTCTTGTCCCAATGTCACCAGAACAGGAAGTGAGGGGAAATCTCTCTAAAGACAGAGCCCAAAATAAACATTTTTGTTCTGATTCTTACTACTAGATTGACAATGTAAAATAAATAAATGCCAACAGGAGCTGAATGTCAGGGAAGTGTGACTGATGGTTAAATGCATGATGGCATAAAATAGCGCTTGAAGGAAAATGTCCTGTGGCTACAAGTGGTCTTGAAATTATTCACATAACTTTTTATCGTTTGTCTGGCTGTAAAAATATTTACTTGCGTATACCTGGAACAAAATATGAAAATACAAGGATGGGACAGATAAGTAAATCATGTAGGAACAAATCAGCTTTTTCTTACACACATATCGCTAGACACAATAGCTTGAAATTGTTTTTATTTACATTAGTTTGGAGTACAATAGATAAAACATTACATTATTGGCCAACTGTATAATTTAAGTTTATACAATAAAAACACATGTAAAACATGAATAAAAAAAGCACATTTACAAAACGGAGACCGGACGTGGCGAAGGGAAGGAGGGTCCCAAGGAATGACACAGATTCCTGGAATGAAAGAGAGGAATGAGCACCAAGGCCTACACCCTAACAGCTATGTCTTACCAAGGCATTTTAAAACAAAAAATAACTGCATAAATCAGGAGAGCTCATCTGGAAAATGACCATAGACCAATTTTATTCATCTTAGTCATGACAAGTGAGCAATATGGCTTGTCTTAATTTTTGCATTACTTCAAAGCAGAGTATTGAGCCATAACATATGCATCACCTTTACGTACAGTAAAATATAGCTATTAAACTACTAATAGCAGCTGCAAGGACAATCCTGTATGGATACATTCAATGAGACCTCCACTGCCATCTCTTGGAATATTTCCAGAAATAAACATTTTTTTGTTTAGAACAACTGCAGTGTACATCTATAAATATTGAAGCAGTTCTATAGTCTAAATAAAAGTGAACCTTTGCTGGAGCACCCTCTGTGTAGTGTTAGTTATATTCATAATCTCAGGATCACAGTGGGATTAAGAATTATAAGAAGCACATAGGAAAAGTTGCAATTTAAAAAGAGAAGTTCACCTTTAGAACATGTTACGCTTCACCTGTTTTTATGGTGGAACAGGTAACATGTTCCAGCATCTGCAGTCTCTCCCTCCTGATCCCCCTGCTTGTGACAGCAAGTGGGGATCTTTTCCCTGCCCCAACTGTCACAAATTGAAAACAACGCAACTTTCCTGTGAATTAATGCCTATAGCAGTGTTTCTCAACCTTTTTTCAGTCAAGGCACCCTTAAAAATTCTACACCCCATTCTAAAAATGTAAAAACTTAAGTAATATTTTTACATAATACAGCAGCATCCACATAGCACAACCAATGTTAGAGGTGATTTATTCTTCCAAAGCAAATACACACTTGCACACTGGTACTGACTAGTATTATGATGTTTCTCTTCTCCCTCAGCTTCTCTCCCTCATTTAGCCAATATGACCCCAGTGCCGATTGAGGGGGCAAGGGAGGGGCAAAGAAGAATGCTGTGCAGGCACTCAACGTCCTCCTTATCAATCAATTATATCATTGGTTGATAGGACGCCGGAAGCTAGAAGGCTGTAATTGTGCACAATGAAAACCTATGGCTTTGAGTAACTAAGACAGTAAGACCGGGTTCACACTATGTGCAGGACACCACATGGAGTTCGCACAGGAATTGCGCTGCATTCCTGTGCATAAAACATGCAAATGTCTCTGCGGTGCAATTTGAGCCATACATTTTGTATGGCTCAAATCGCATCGCATCCACACCAAAAAGGTGCAGGACCCTTTTTTAAATCCGCACCTGAATTGCATCGCATAGGTGTTCTCACCCATGCGTTGCGATTTCTGGCAAACGCATTGCGTTTGGCGATCTGTTTCAGGGTGTGAATTTATCATTGGCACCCGTACCAGATTGCATGAATGCGATGCGATTGCAATGCCGCGCAGGAAACGTACAGGATTCACAGCAGTTCCCGCACCGCATTGGTGTGACCCTGGGCTAATAATCCACTCTTTGGCTTGTTCACAGTTTTCGGGTAATTTTTAGGCAGGGTGCCAAGGCACCCCTGAAGAGTCCTGAAGGCACTCCAGGGTGCTTGGCCACCCTAATTGAAAAAGGCTGGCATATAGTACAGTCAGCCATTGTGGCTGAGGGCTTGTAGTTTTCAATGAACTATGAGGGTGCTGGTGAGTGCACTCAATACATTGATCTTCCTGCTCTCAAGTAACTTGGTGCCCATACGAGATACAGGCAGACAGCTATTCTGGGAGTCTGCAGGAGCTTAAAAATGTTATTGCGATTCCCTTATCATGGGTGCAATGCTCTGCAGGCTTTTTAGAAACAAACAAAAAAAAAATGAATGCATTTTACCTGCAAAAATGTGCATTTATTTATTTTTTCTTCAAAATGTGAATTTATCCTTTAACCGCTTCCCTACCGCCCTATAGCAGAACTACTACTATAGGGCGGCAGGCTTGCGCAAAATCACGTACATGTAAATACACGTGATTTTGCATTTCCGGGTACAGGGTGCATGCCGCCCTACCCATGCCACCATTGGCGGCTAGAGCTGTCAATCACTGGGTCTCGGCCGGAGATTCCCCTCCCCGCCAGACACCCAGCGATCGCTGAGGAACAGTGAAAAGGGAGAGGTCTGTGTGTAAATACAGCAGAGCAATACAAATCAGCTTGTTTCCCTAGTAAAACACTCTCAGCACACAGTTAACCCTTTGATCACCCCAGACGTTAACCCCTTCCTGCCCAGTGTCAGTGCTTTTTACTAGCAGTAATCACTGTATTAGTGTCATTGGGATGTCAGTGGCAGTTAGTCAGATGCACCCCAGTGTCAGAATGCCTGCCACAGACCCGCTATTAAAGTTGCTGATTGCTGCCATTACTAGTATTACAAAGAATAAAAATTACAGTATATATACCGCTATTTGTAGACACTAACTTTCACACAAACCAATTATTTATATGCATCTTTTTTTGTTTATAGCACCAAAAAAAATGCAATCAAATACTGAAAGAAAGCTCTATTTGTGGGGAAAAAAAGTACAAATTTCAATTGGGTGCAGCATTGTATTACTGCGCAATTGTCAGTTAAAGTAATGCAGCACCCTATCGCAAAAATGGCCTGGTCAGGAAGGGGGGTAAATCCTCTGTTATGAAAAAAAAAAAAAAAAAAACTACTGAAGCAGTTTTGTTTGGGTTTCAACATACCT